GAAAACCATATGAGAAGACATGACCCCTTCAAGGCAGAAGATCAGGTGGTGGATTTTAAAACACCACTCATGAGGAAGGGCTTGTTTGATCAGGTAGAGAGAAAGACCTTGCCTGTGACTACAACGGTATGATAAAGGATAGAAACCTCTATTGACATAGGTAGTCAGTGCAATCCTGCGTAAGGGAGTACATGTGTGCGTAAAATAGCTCCTCTGCTTCTTTGTTCCAAATGGATTCTGCAGGGTTTTCTAGTTGTCTCAGTTTGAGGGACTTTCCACAAACTGCAGATAAAGTTGTGTGGAAATACCAGTACCTTTACCTTGTGTCTTTCTGACTTGTTGATTTCATTGTTGCCTATGAGATATAATAGCTGTTTTTGCTTCTCTGCTTCTGAGCTGCTACTTATTGGCATGCTTTTGCTATATATTACAACTAAAAATAAGTGTTTTAATCAGTCCAGTCCTCTTAGGATGCTCAACCTTTTTTCAGACTAACACCACCTTATTTTCTGGTGCCCAGGAGCTGTTACATTAACACAGTTTAGGAGTAGGCTGTTACTTCATGTACACTTTTTTTTCTTCTTCGTGAATGTTATGTGACAGACAACTGTTTCTGTGTTTTACAAATATGAGTAACATTCAGCCTCAGCTTAGCTTAGTGTTCCTGCTGACTGACATATCTGTCACTCAGTTACTAACAAGCCTCTCATTGATCCCTTGTTTTCTCTCCTCACCATATCCCAAGCCAGAAATTATTTAGCTTCTTGGAGATTGACACTGTCCTAGTTCAGTGGGAAAGTGAAAACCAACGTTAGAAAGCAACAGCCCAGTGTTTTTTTTAGGGGCAGTTTCCTTGTTCATAGCTCTGTTATAATCTGTATAATCTGTCTCCAGAACCCTCAAGTCGAAAGAACGGAAAAGCATAATTTCTTATTGCTGTTTTTCTTTTTTTTTTTTAACACAGTGAAACAGGTAACATCCGAACACTAATTTTCCCAGTGATGTATATAAATGAGGTAAATAATTTCATTCGTTCTCTGCAGCATTGTGAGATGTTTATGTTTGCAAAACTACTGACTTTGAGCTAGCCATGAAAAAATTATGTATTTTTTCCTGTTGTTTTATGTAGTGATAAGTAGGAAGTTGTTTCCTATTAACATCATTCTGCTGCTTGTTGACCACTGCATTAAGTTTAGTTCTGGAAAATCTTTGTTGGGTAGTCTTTTTAATTGTGAAGATATTGACAGTAAGGAAAAAGGCTGCTCGGGTGAAGAGGCTGAGCGTGTGCAGAATCTCATCTTTGTTTCTGGGGACTTCTGCAAATGCAGTAGTAGTACAGACTGTGCTGTGTTGGATCACTGAATTCACTGGATTCAGGGAATGCTCTAAGAGAGTACCTTGTGATGATATGTGTCATTATTCCAGGCCAGTGCTATTGCATTCCTAACCAGAGCATTTTAATCACTACTTCCTTTAGAAATGCAGACCAGATTTGCCTTCTGGCCTCAGAGGAATAGCTGGGGATTCTCAGAGGGAAGGTACATTACGCAAGGAAGCAAAGGTGCAGAGTCGTGGGAGTGTTGTTAGCTTACCCCCACAAAAGTAAAATGGCCTAATATGAAGAATGGAAATATTCTTTTTTTCTTCTCTCTTCATCTCTTCTCTACTCCAGAGCGTTCTGATTGATGAAGCATCTGCCAACAAACTCAAGCACGTCCTGCTGGAAGCCAGTGTTGTAACTGGAATCCCTTTTGTAATCATGGCAATAGGAATTGTTTTTGGGATTGTTTTTAGTGTGCTTGTGTGCAGGTCTCAGGGAGTAAGAGAAGAGGTAAGTAACACTTGAATTTGACTTTGTTTACTGTATGTTTGTCTGTGTTTGGTTTTCTTCTAGTTGGTTTTACTTCTTCATTGTCTACACAGAAACATTTTAATGTGTCGTTTTTGTTTAAAATGACCTTTTTAGGGAAGGGATGTTTTAATAGACACAGAATAAAAGCACCAAAACAAAGGAATGCAGCTAATATAAGAGACAATTGTGGTAAGACAGGTAGCATTTTCTGTGCCCAATTTCCTTGCTGATAGTAGTATAAAAAATAAAAATCAGCCTGTCTAGAGGACCCTGAAGGGTAATGTGCAAAAAGCCCACTGTGTTTGATGAACAGATATAGTCACAGGCAGTCTGACAGTGTTCTCAGTAGAAACTGTCTTATGCCAGTTGATTATTTTTCAGAATCATAATGCAATTTTATAACTAAAGAATGGATGAATTTTACAAACAGCAGCATGCAAATAGTTCTGTCCAGATAATACTAGTTTGAACACCTATTTATGAAAAATTCTGTTTCAAAATGTCATGGTGTTAAGGCCATTACTTAACAACGTTGAAAGCCAAAATTTCACCCTAAGACAGAAGGGTCCAGATGAGATAAACTTTGGATTCTTTGGTTGAAGGAACAGACTGGGTACTCTAGTAGGCTGCTTTCTTCCTGTAGCTGCTGTGGTCTTAGTGTGGTGTTGCTTGTATGACGCTACCCAAGCACCTCTTTAGAGCCATGTAGGAAAGCACACAGAACCCCCAGAGCACACAGCTGTGCTGCGTGTGCACTTCTAGCCTGTGGGACCCAGTGCCAGCTGGGGGTGCGGCAGCGGTGGCAGCAGCTTGGCAGAGAGGTGTGCAATCTCCCTTCCTCAAGCAGTGGCTTCGAGGAGCTGATCTCTGGCTCTTTTGCTTCAGTCTTGTATGCCTCCAGGTACCCAGGAAGCATTGCACCACCAGGGGCTCTCAGGACCACAATTCAGGTTCCTTTTCATGAGAGCCCAGTCCTTTTTCCTTTGGGCTTTTGAGCCTGCTGTGTCACAGGCAAACTCGGGTAGAAAATCAAAACCATCCCATTGCCTGAGGGCCCTGTCGCAAGCATTCCTGCCCTTCACTACATGTATGGCTCCATACCAGCCCTCTTGGCTGTTCCTGAACATCTCTTCACAGTGAATAAAATGACAGAGGGACACGTACTTTTTGTATTTTCTCTATATTGCTTTTGTTGCTTTTCCTGCAAATGTAAAAATGATTCTGCCAATCAGAGCTATCTTTGTGATGCAGGGTGACTATGGTCTTCTGTCACATGGAAGGTACTACAGGGAGCCTGAGCAATCTCAGTTGTCCAGGCATGATGTCAGTAGGCTGAATGCCCATGTCATCTGGAGAATGCAGCACCCTGAGTGGAGTGCATCCTGGCCCTTTTCCTCCACTCACCCTGATCCCCTTCTGCCTCTGCACAGGCACAGGGAAATCTCTTTGCATCGTCCCAGTGCCGGTACCTGCCAAAGCTGCCATCCACCCTCCAGCACCTCGCCTGCGCAGTGAGGGTTCCTTTAGTAAATCTGCACTTAGAAGTAGGAGCCAAGAGCTTTTTCCTTTCCTCTTTGGAGTTTAAGAAATTTAGCTTCCCCACCACGGAAGCGCTCTAATGTGCCACATTTAATTTTCCTTTGTTGCAACTTTTTTCTTTCAGAGCACTGAAGAAGAAAGGTCCCCGCTCATCAGGACATAGTAGTAGATCTTCTTAAATACGTGAGCTTGGAGAATAAATCATTAGAGCTTACCTAATACCAGTTACCACTACCCAGTGTTGTCCACTGTGGAAAAACAGTCGTGTCAAGTGTAATGTTCAAAGATGGAAGAGAATCCGCACTGTCATCAGGGGAGGAGACTTTTCTTAGCAGCTAAGTTACAACTACAAAACTACATTTTAAAACTGCTCGAGATCCTGCTTTTTTCAGCCCTGCGCTCTCTTGTACCTACACTGACACTCAGAGACGATCATAACCACTTTATCGGTGAAAATAAAATGGCCTGATTCGTTATAGAAACGACGGGTAACACTTGCAAATGGCCTTAGAAGCGTGGGCTGCAAAGAACCCTCGTAGAGATGCAGCAGGTTCCTGTGTCACTCACACACCTGTCGGTTTCCTGTAGCCTCACTGTTGTCTTTTCTGTAAAGTACCGCGCGCTGCTTACTACGGGTTTGCACTGACTGTTTGTTATTAAAGTCATGGGTCCTTTCACAAATGGATCTGTACAACTCATCCAAACCACTGAGTGAAATTCATTAAGTATCTCTCGTTAGCAGGTAGAAAGAAGCCAACGATTGGAAGTGCTTTTCCATTCTGATCTTGTAACTGTTCTGACTCTGCTCTGATCCCATTGCCTTTAGGGGGTATCCTTGAAGTTTGGGGGGTTCTTTTCCCTTCAACTTAAAAGAGAAAACAAACCAAACATGCACTGTGATGGTGGAAGGTACGTCGGTGGTGTGCTTTTTCTCACGGGTGGTATCACAGCTACCAGCACTGTGCTTTCTGTGTGTGTTGGTTTGTCAGTGACATCTGTTGTTCGAGTTAAAAACCTCCAGACTGAGCTACGTGTGGGGCCTGGAAAAGCTCTACGTGTTTTTTACTTGCCAAGTGGAAGCTTGCTTTTAAAAAGTCACAAAAGTGGGATTTTTTTCTCCTGATGGAGTATTCTAATTGAGGTGCACTTCAATTAGATCTAGATAATGAAACACGTTTTAAAATTTATCATTTTCTTCTAAATAGAAGTTTAAAAGTATTTAGAAGTATTGTGGGATTTATTTTGTTTGTTTTTCTCCATTGGTTTGCTCTGTTGGCTTTTTTTTGCCTCGCTGGTGCCTTGTTCAAGTTTGGTTCCAACTGGAACGGCTGACGATGCTTGCCGTTAGTACGATCCGCATTAGTAAGCGTGCTCGCTGCCAGCGAAGTCATCTCCGAGCTTCGAGAAAGTTCTAAGAGAACGTTAGCGCTTCAGCTAGCGAAACGCCTCCAGCAAGAGGGGCCGCGACGGCAGCCTCCCTCCGCCCCCCGGCGCGCAGTAGTACCTCCGGGCCGCCTGGCGGCGCATGACGGCGCGGACGGGGCCCGGCGTCCCGCAAGAGCCGGAAGGGCTGTGGGGCTGGGACCGGAAGCGCCGCCGGTTTGTTCGCGGCGGTAAGGGCTGCGGGCACGCCTCCTGCCGCTGCGGCCCCCTCATGGCCTTCAACTTCGGGGCGGCGGCGGGCGCCGGGGCCTCCAACCCCAGCGGTGAGTGCGGGGCCTCCGGGTGGGAACGGAGGGGCGCGGCGGCCGCTGAGGGAGAGGCGGTGGAGGAGAAGCCGTGAAGGGCCGCCGGAGCCGCGGCTGTGAGTGCGGCTGGAGCGAGTCCCGTCGGCGTGCTGCTGGGCGTCCCTGGGCTTCCTGTGCCCTGCGGCTCAGAACGCCATCCCACTAGTAACTTGGGGAGAACGGGCTTAAACCTTGCTTTTAGGTGCTTAGTAATTCGCGCTTGGTGCCAGTTAATACCTTACTCTCGTTATTAACCAGCCTGCCTCGTCTCTGGTGCCAAAACAGTATGTCAGCTGTTACTTCTGAACCTGCCTTTCTCCCAGAACTAACGCTGCCTTGCTCTCTTTCTGCTTCATGCTTGTCAGGATTTGGTGGGCTTGAAACCACAAACTCCACCGCCGGTGGGTTTAATTTTGGGGGTTTCGGATTAGCTGCTAATCCCGCAGTGAATTTTAATATTGGGAATTTCGGTGTTTCTACTACCTCAACTCCACCATTCAATTTTGGTAACAGTCTGGCAAGTGCAGGTAGATATTGCACAAATACGTGTTCTGTAATAAATGTTAATAGCAGAGGTCCAAGAATTGCGTTCGTGACTCAGAATCTGTATTGAACTTTCTTCATATCCTGTGCAGACTGGAGGTTTAAAAGCTCTGGGAGTGAAATAAGTTGTAGAGCCATATAATTGTAAGGGATTTTTTTTCCTACTAAATTCTCCAGAAATAGCTGTTAAGGAATAATGGCTGCATGCCTGATTAGACACTGAACTGGAGATGAATCTTGGTACCCTGCTAACCTTACCCAGTCCAAAATTGAGTTTTGCTCACACAGCAGAACTGGAACATTGGTTCTGCCTTTAAGTCTGGGCCATCAGAACTATTGCAGGGCTGATCCCTAACGCCTTGTTTTCTCACGTAAGATTCTTGGACTGCTGCAGTCATGGTTTTCATTCTCTCCATGTCTCCTCATCGGCCTTCTGTTGGTTACCGTGAATGTGCTGCACTTCAGTTGTTTCTGTGGAGAAACAAATTTTATACGATCAGCATAAAAATGAACAGCCCTCACTGTTATGTTCATTCCTAAATCTGTTCTGCCTCTTGACGTGGTGCACGTCCCTGCAAAGTGATTCTCTGGGAGGGTTTTGTCCAGCATGGTGCGCACTGACTGCTTGTTGAGAAAACCCTTTGTGTCCCCATGTAGGCTTATCAATTCTGAGTGACCAGCTGATAAATTTCAAGTTATGTCTTTTCCATTCTGTAAAAAAAAAAAAAAACGCATTCAACTGCATGGATTTTTCATGCTTTTTCCCATATAGAATTATCCCTTGGTTCTCGTTGCCGCTGCTCGTATAGGAGTTATATTCATTCCACAGCATCGTCACTCCCTGTGTTAGAATACTCCTACCTGTTTTGTGAGTTCAGGGGATCTGGTTTGGTTTTTAATTTGGTATGAGTGCTACTGGACTATTTCTTGAGCTGAATTGAAACTAATCCAAGAGAATTTGGATACATTATTTAGTTTAGTAGTTTGCACTTCTAGGTCCTTCTCTAAGAAAGGATGCTGAATTGCTGTGAATAGGAATCTATCTAAAAATTGTGTCATCTGATGGTATTCCTGCTAGGGTTGCTCACTTGCTGATAGGACTGAAACCTGAAAGTTTGAGGGAGCAGCTCTTGTAATTAGTTGTGTTGTTTGCTAAATTAAAAGAAAATGTGGCTGCATGTCAGCTTTGATTTGATCTCTTTATTTTGTATGTATATACAAGACGGTAAGTGCAGTAGGTCTAAACTGACTTTTTTTTTTGCTATGGACATGTGAATAAGCACTGGCAGCGTTGCTTTGTTTTGATGCATTGTATGTACTGAACTGTCTATCTCCATTTGAACATATGTAAAATCCATCAGAAACACAGAGGATTTGAAACATGGGGCTATTCAGATGTTCACATGCTGCACATTGGGTCAGATGGTGTGTTAGCACCACTGCAGCAAAGAGAGTGCAAAGAGATGGCGTGGTCAGAAGGACAAATGCAAAGGTTTTGGGAGGCATGGTGGGGCTTGGGCCTGTGCTTGGGTTTCCTCCTGCTAGCCAGCAGCTGGTTTTCTTGAAAACCTGTGGGAAGCCAACAAGTTTAGTGTGTTCTTCTCTGGATGACAGTTGAACCTCAAAGTGAGGGTTGATGGGGAAACTTTCAAATGATGGGAAAAGCAGCCTTGGGGAAAAAAGACATTTCATAATTTTACTTGTGTGAGAAAGGAATCATTGCTCTGGCAGCATTTTTGTGTGGGTGCAGTAATTGTGTGCACCCTGGTCTCAGACTTCAGCTGCTTTTCTTTTTGCTCCTAGGATTTTATAAATGTCAAAAAAGCTCATGAAACATGATTGCTTATTAAATGCTTAGCCACAATATTAATTTTTAGGAATTCCAACCACTCTAAGAAAAATTATTGCAAGTTGCGTCTGCCACAAGTAACAGGGCATTTGTTACTGCTGCTTTTCTGTTTGCATTCTTGACATACCGTGGATGTATTGGCTTTCTGGTTTGTGTTATTTCCCATTCCCTTGGATAATGAACTTGGTCCCCATGGTCAGTGTCCAAAAAACCACATGCTTGTAAAATAACACATAAAGCATCTGTCTGCATCTCATAACACCCATTGAAATATGCAGTTAGTTGTCATCTTGTGCACAGCTGCCACTCACAGCACACAGCCTGCCTTACCTGCAAACTTTGTTCATTAGGTGCATTTGGAGGATTTGGGACAACCACTACCACTGCAGCGCCAGCATTTAGTTTTTCTGCTCCCACCAACACAGGCACCAGCGGTAAGAGCACAAATCTGAAAGTATTCACTTTAGAATGAAGTGTAGCATTAGCCCTTCATAATAATTAATGTTTTGCAGCTCACGTGGATTTTTATCCTGTTCTCAATAATTCTTTGCTTATTTTCCCAGGACTGTTTGGTGCTTCCCAGAACAAAGGCTTTGGATTTGGTACTAGTTTTGGGACAGGAACTGGTACTGGCTTGGGTACTGGGTTGGGAACTGGGTTAGGCTTTGGAGGCTTCGGTACCCAGCAGCAGCAGCAGCAGCAGCAGACCTGTAAGTACAGCCTTCTATTCATTTATGCTTTGGCTGCCAAAGAAAGACTTAGAGGGCAACTGGAGCTTGAGTGGTAAGACTGAAGTGTTCCATAAAGGGAGCCTGTTACACTTGAGCTTAAGCTGAATGGAGGCTTCTCAGAGATCTGTCTTTTGAAATACCTACGTTTTCAGCCCTTGCCCTTTTCTTGAATGAGCTTAGACAAGTTTCTGGTGACAGTATTTGCCACTTAGAGTTAGTGGTGGGAGAGAGTGGGTTCAGAAATGATGTCAAGCAGCCATGGCTTTGTTAGAAGGAGGAGGGAAACTGTTCAATTTAAACAAGTTGGATTATGAATGACTGCAAGCTCTGAGCCTGCTGAATTTATAACAGCAAAGCTACCTTTTGCATTAAGACATTCAGGGTACCAGATCATGTGTACGTGTGAATGTATTTGTGTTATTTAAATACGAAAGAGCAAGTCTCTTAACTCAGCCCACATGAACTTCTTTTACTGATGAAGATTGGGTGTAAAAAGGTGCTTGCATAAAGCACTGCCACTGATTTATGCTTATTGTGTGTTTATTTTAATTCTGAAAATGTGAAAAGAAGTAGTGCCAATGATACACAGACAGCATGTATTAACAAGCACGCCCGTCTTTGTTGGTGAAGGAGTTCATTTGTTTCTCCGTCCCATGCAGCATTAGGAGGCGGTTTGTTCAGCCAGCCTGCTCAGACACCTGCCCAGTCAAACCAGCTCATCAATACTGCCAGTGCTCTCTCAGCTCCGACACTCTTGGGAGATGAGAGAGATGCCATCTTGGCAAAATGGAACCAGCTGCAGGCCTTCTGGGGAACGGGCAAGGGGTACTTCAGCAATAACATCGCTCCAGTGGAGTTCACACAGGAAAACCCATTTTGCAGATTTAAGGTATGAGTTTTTCACCTGCTCACAAACGGTTCTGAAGTGATTACTCTGCTGGCTGATTCCTTGTCTGAATAGCTCACAAATATCAAATTAATTTTATTTCTGCAAAGGGTAATATGAAAGCATTTTTCCGGATAATTTTTGCACTGCTGATGCATGTATTGATATAAAGAGGTCTGAAGGTGTACAGATGCTAAAAGTCCAGATATTGCTGAGATTCTAGATAGGAAGTGCATATGTGGCTCATGAAACATTCAGTGATTATGAAACTTACCTCTTCTATGACAGCACTTAGATTAGTGTGTGTGGATCAGATCTCCAGGAATTAATTTTAACATGCATTTGTTTAGGTTACAGTATTACAGGAACTATTAAAAATGATCTTCACATCTTTCAGTATCTGGAACAGGAACTCCAGGGTGTTTGGGGTTTTTTTTGTCTCCTTTATTAAAACCAACTAAGAGCCTGGTCAGTGCACACTGTCTTAAATGTATCAGCTTTGTATATCAGCCTTAAATATACTAGCCTGCATATCTTGATCCTCCACAAATCTTGTGCCTGCTGACTTTCTTGCTAAGCTTTCTTGCTAAGCTTTGGACTTGTGGATTTGGGTCAGGCCAGGCATGGTGATTCTCTCTTTTCCCAAGGCGATCCATTGAAGGGCAAACTTTCTAACCTGAGTGTAGGTTAATGGTCAGTTTTGGTGTTCATATTGTGACAATTTAATAAAATATTTGTGTCAGCTCAGTGTATGCCTAACAACCATTTGGTTTCTCGTGCATTGGTTTCTTTTTAGCTGTTATCTTGAGCATTTCGATGATGGAGCACATGAAAGCCTACTTTCTTGGAAGTCATCACCTAAAGCAGCTTTAAAGCTTTATGAGTTTTCAAAGAACAGCAAAGTATAAATTATGTGATACCAAACTGGTAATCTTGGAGTTCTGTTTTCTAAAATAAGGAAGTTCTCATTTCAGGTTAGACATGGAATGCCACATACTGCATTTACTCTTGTGATGTGAGAATTGGCACTGCCATCGTGAACTCCCATGCCTTATGTGAGATGCTGAGAAATCAGTTGTCTGCTGGCCGTGGCAGCTGCCTACAAAAAAGTAGTTAAGTTGTTAGTATAGGACTTGGAGCAAAGCTCCTTTGGCTTATCACCTCTGTACACACTGGGCATCTGACAGGAATGAAATGTTGCTGGAAGGGCTCCATGGGTGCTGAGGAGTTCATTTGTGCATAATTCCTGTTTTGGAACAAATAAGAACTACTTCTAACCAAGAAAAGTGTGCTTTTAAGGTATGGTATAAAGCTTGTCATGTGAACAGCCATGACAAAGAAAAAAAACAAAGCAAAACAAAACAACCGTGCCAGCCTGAAAATATTTAATTTTGTAGAGAAATCCTGAAAAGGGATCTTTATTTTTTTTTATTTTTATTTTTTAGTCAGACCTGTTGGAGGAGTGGCGTATATGTGGTCTTAGTACTAGTTTGCATAGTAAAACATGGTACTGCTTAGTACTTTACCTTGGTGTATAATGGGCTTTAGTCTTCCTTGTGTTGTTGAGTCTTTTCCCACAGGCTGGCTTTGTTCAGAACTAAGGAAATGAAACGGATGCTTTTTGTTTGTTTTTTTTTGTTTTTTAAAGTAGGTGATGGTATGTTTCTCTTTTGAGGTAGTAGAAGAAATAAAGGGCTTACATCAGGGACAAATGTAGCTCCAGTAACGTGGAGGTCCCTTCTTTAAAAACATGAGTTTTTGTCCCTATTGTTCTGAATTGTTCCTTAGCTGTGGCTGTTGTGCTCCCTGCCACAACAGCCCAGCCAAGTTCTGCAAGGCTCACCCTTGTGGGAAACAACCCTCTGCAAACAGAGACCAGGCTTTGGCACACATCCCCCGCTTGTTTCTCTCTTCAGCTTGACTTGCACGTTGGGAAAGACACAAGTCATCCACATGCACTGATGAGGCCTTAAAAAGCAGCCTTTGTCACAGCATGTCACTGACAATAGGTTGGTGCAGTGATTCTGAGGCAAGATGAAATGAAACATGCCTATCCCTTTATAATGAGTTGTCCTTTACAATGAGTTATCAGCTTAGGTCTTCCATACAAGTGTGAGGAGTTAATTTTGGAGCCAACAGTGTTTTATTTTTTTTTTATTGGGGAGACTGCACCAGTACTTAACACAGATAGCAGAAAGGATTCTGCTATTAGACTGTGATGTTGGACTAAAACATCTAAGCTTACTACAGCTTTATCACAGGATAAAGATATTGTTAAATTTTACAAGCAAGTGTGCAAATTAACAAATGACAATTAACAAAGTAAGGAAAACTGGCTATCCTAAATTCTTGCCCAAAAACCTTACTTGGTGCGTGTATTAGTTAACAGGAATATTTCATCTTTTTGTTTTGACTTATACTGCCAGGCAAACTGGGTCAACAGGATTAGAAATGTTAAGAAAGCCATGAAGATTTGTGGCTGGCTTTCAATTAGGCATGTCAGTAACTATTTTTTATTTAGACATCTGGAAATGTAAAGCTGTTTTAGAATTCTCTAGTGAATTTTCTTGAAGCTGCCATCTCCCAGTGCATAGTTCTGGTTTACTGAAAATGAGGAATGGACGCTTAGAAACTTTTTTCTTGAAAATTCTGGGTTTTGTTTTTTCTTTTCTGAAAGATACTCTACCAGTGGCCTCGTGAGGATACTTACATAGGGAGATTGATATTATGCCTTTGCATATCTAAATATGTTGTGACTGGCATTTGGAACCAGTTGAGGGGTTCATCTTGACTTAGTCTCTCCCCTTCATGCCACATGATGTGTTCTGCTGAGTAGTGTATTTTTGTTTGTTTGTCTGCTCATTTGCAGGCTGTAGGTTACAGTTTAATGCCCAACAACAAAGATGAAGATGGCCTTGTGGTCTTGGTCTTCAACAGAAAAGAAGTAGATATTCGAAGCCAGCAGCAGCAGCTCGTGGAATCACTACACAAAATTCTTGGAGGAAACCAGACCCTTACTGTCAACGTAGAAGGTGTTAAAACGATGCCAGATGACCAGTATGTGAACTTGACACAGCTTGATTTTTTTCTTCGGGGTTGCACGTTATAAAAAGGGATGGCACCTAATCTGAGTGCCAAGCGATAGTGGTTCTGTCTTCCTCTCTTAGTAATTTTTAGATCTCTTTATCTTGGTCTCACTGCATCTTGTTTTACTTCAGGCATTAAGCCCATTTATCTTTCTTATGTATGCAGCTTGTTTTTTCTGGAGTGCACAGCTGAGAACCCTCAGCTCAGTTCAGGAAATAAGCTTTTCAGATGACGCCGATATTTCTGCTTGTTACTTTGCTACCGTTTCATTACTATTGCATTATTCTTAATGCAGTACTAGTGTCACTGTGTAGTATGGCTGTTAAAACTGGGGGTACCATATTTTGTAGACTATTTACAGTGCCTGTAGGCTATTTTCTGCTGCGCTGTGTTAAACCCTAGATTTATTTCGACTTGATATCTCAGTTAGCTAAAGTTAACCATCAACATGGAAAAGCAAACTTCAATTCAGGTTTGTTCTCCATTCAGTTAGCCTCTCTATGCTGTTTCTTTGTCTCACAGTATGTGTTTGTCTTGCTCAGGACAGAAGTGATCATTTATGTTGTTGAGCGTTCACCCAATGGCACTTCAAGGAGAGTTCCAGCAACCACCCTCTACGCTCACTTTGAACAAGCCAACATAAAATCATCCCTGCAGCAGCTGGGGGTCAGCTTCTCCATGGCCAGAACAGAGCTCTCCCCAGCCCAAGTCAAACAGCTCCTTCAAAACCCCCCTGCTGGTATGTGGTCGGGGGCTCCTCAGGGCACGGTCAGGCTTCTGCCAGGGGCTTATTGGTTCTCTGGGAAAAATGTGGGTGTCAGCCCACTGGAAAACACCGTTTAAAGCTGCAGGTGTTTTGAAGGCATTCTGGTGTGCTGACCTGTTCTAATTACAAGCTAGCTTAGCTGCTGAAGTGCAACCTAGTCTGCTAAAACACTTGTGCAAAAGCTTAATTTTTCAGTGGTACGCCACACAGCCACGGACTATATGTGATTTTGGCCGCCACTGTCACTTACTTTGACTTGTCTGATGGAAGTTGTTTTGTGCTGTTGTTTGTTTTAAAAAGCTGTATGTCAGAATAATCATGTCCTTTTTTTTGCTTCCTTGGTTGTTGGCTTTTTTTTTTTTTTGAGTGGTGAAGGTGGTGTCTCTTAGCCCATATCTGTATGTCACATGGCTACAGATAGTAAATGAGTATTTTAGCTTGCTGCTCAAGATAATCTTAGTATATGCTCCATATCAATGAAATGTTATGTGTGGCACTTGCAGTGAACTCCCTCTGGTGGGTAGGGAAAGCAGTGCATGGTACGTGACAGGTTCTGTGTAGTGTGTTTGCTAGGACCAGTGTTGAAACACAGCAGTTGTTACACCTGGATTGCAGGTACTTGGGCAGAACAGCCAAGCTGCAGGTGGGGATAAGCAGCAGAGTTTCATTGCTGCAGCGCTAAGGAAGGGGGCACTGTGTTGCAAGATGGTCTTCACCACTGGAGATGTGTCATAAGGATGGTGGTTGGGCACAGTTTGTTAGTCTTTGTTTACAGAAATAATAAGGAATTTTTCTTGTTTAAGCATGACTGTCTGCTTGGATCAATTGTTGATCGTTGCTTCCCTGCCCTTTAAGGCCAGCAGGAGCGTGTCTTTTGGCACCCAGCCCAAGACCAAGATTTTAAGAGCTACCCTTGTTTGATTAACCTTAGTTTGTACAACTGTCATTAAGCATATTTCTTGGGGTTTGTGTATTTCCTAATATTTTACCTGTTTAACAGCTGTAAGATACATTTTTTACATTATCTAGTCAGATAATTTTATTTATTTATTTTTTTTAGGTGTTGATCCTATTATTTGGGAGCAAGCCAAAGTTGATAATCCTGATCCTGACAAGTAAGTCTGATAGTCTGACTATTATAAAAGTACCTAGAAAGAGGGGAGAAAAGCAGAATATAGTGTAGTAGTCTTCCAGTAACTGGTAAGAAACCCCTTATAGGACAACTTTGTCCAGTGCTGATATAATTTGAAGAAATGAAGTTAACTAGAAATGGCTGCCCTAGTTCCTTTACTCATTCAGGTGCTTAAAGAGGAGTCAGGATGAAGAACTTTCTTTTGCTTTTTTTTTTTTTTTTTTAAATCTTAATTTATCAACAGCCAAGATCACTTGTAATCATTAATTATTTCTTACAACATGTTTGTATTAAATACTTACTTATAGGCTTATTCCTGTGCCCATGGTGGGTTTCAAGGAATTGTTGAGAAGATTGAAGGTCCAAGATCAGATGACCAAACAGCATCAAACTCGCTTAGATGTAAGTTGTCTTAGTTTTATCATGATTATTTGCTACTGCTGAAGGATTTGTTATAAAATGAGCATTTCTTCTGTATGCTAAAAAAAACTGAAGGTAGAACAACATGCATTGGATTGTGGTGACTTCTTTTTTTTTCACCTCACTATTCCATAATATATTACTTAATTATATTCTTTGGCCAAAAGTACGTTTTGGGTTTTGGTTTTTCAGGCTCAAGTTTACTGTGTTGTTATAGGCTAAATCAAACTTGGATTTTTCAAAATGGCTGAATTAAGTTGCATTGACTCAGACTTTTAATTTGGATACCCATATTTTTCATGCCTTCTGGAAATCCCACTTGCAGATGAAAACAAACAGCAGCGGCCCAGCAAAAAACTTATTGAAAGAAAAAACTTATTTGAAAGCATCTTTTGCAAGGACCTTCAGTTGCTGAACTGAGTACTATTTTCAAGCTGGTTTCAAATTAGGACTACTGTGCTCTGTTATCATAAACTTATACAACTTCAAAGTAATTTGTATCCTCTGCAGATAATATCAGAAGATATCAGTGAGTTGCAGAAAAACCAGACTACAACTATGGCAAAAATTGCACAATACAAAAGGAAATTGATGGCTCTTTCTCACAGAACGTTACAGGTAACACAGGCATTGTTAAGTGACTCATTCTGACAACCAGTTAGGTGTCAGAAAGCAAACCAACAGGGGATGGGGTCCCAGATGACCTGTGCAGTCATGTGCACGGCCGATATTGAAAATGAAATTCTATCCTCCTGTAAATGGAATTAATGTGCAGAGCTGTCAGGAAAGCTTATTCAGAAGCTGTGGGACTACTGTGAAGTCTTAAAGCAGCAGAAGGAGTGACAGAATAAATCTCATGAGCGAGTTACCGGTGGAAGAACAGAAAGAGAGAGGGGTGGGCTGGTAGGGAAAGAGATGAGCAAAGTATTCTGTAACAAAACTCAAAGGCTTCTTTTGCAGGTGTTAATAAAACAAGAGATCCAAAGGAAAAGTGGCTATGCCATTCAGGCAGATGAAGAACAGCTTCGTGTACAGTTAGATATAATTCAGTGTGAACTTAACGCGCCAACACAGTTCAGAGTGAGTAGTTGAAAGATTTTTGTCGGGAACTTGACCGATGACCCTGTTCTTTTCCTCTACGTGTAAAGTTTTCCAAACCATGCATGTGCTCTGACAGATGTAACGGACCTTTAAAGATTCCTTCCAACTCTAAGGATTCTATGATTCTATATAAATAAGTAGCATTTAGTTTAAGTCTCTCTCTTCTCTTTTCATAGGGCAGACTGAATGAGCTCATGTCCCAAATCAGGATGCAAAACCACTTTGGAGCAGTGAGGGCTGAAGAGCGTTATTACATAGATTCAGACCTCTTAAGAGAAATAAAGCAAGTATGTATTACCTGGTTGACTGCTGAGATACTTTCCATTTCCTAATTTATGCCAGCGAGGCAATAATTTGGGAGATGTATTAAGAATTTTGTGGCTGTTTGATAGTAAACTCCTTTTTCCTGTTTTCAACTGCAATGCTTCAAGGTCGTATAAAGCTAGAATTAAGCTGTTAGTGCTGAAAGTGTTGTTTTTTCTTCTTTACAAAGTAATTTGCTATGTTTTTTGATGTGCTAAGGCTTCTAGATATGACTACTTTGAGAAATCTGACTTAAAATCTGTGAAGTTAAACAACACTCACACTGGTTTTTAAACTACCTGCAGCATCTGAAGCAGCAGCAAGAAGGCCTGAGTCACCTAATTAGCATTATAAAAGATGACTTGGAGGACATCAAACTGATAGAACATGAGTTGAATGAGAGCATTCCCATGAGAGGAGGTTTCTTCAGTTGACGAGCAGGATTCTGCTGGGCTCACGTGAAATGTTATTTGAGTTTATCATTCACCTTCCAAGGCCAAAACTGGTGAGGTAAAATAAAATGTGCATCTTTCAGGAGCAATGGTGTATTGGCTGTTATTTTTTTTAGAATTTGCAAAGCCTCTTCTAAGCTTTTGAATTTGACCTTTGGAAGGTTTATATTTTGTAAAGCTGTATACGCTTTAAAGAAAGAAAGAAAACTGAATCTGTTCAGATACTGTTTTACTATAAAACAATATGTACTATTGTACATTTTTTTTTCTTTAATTACAGCGGAGTTGTCTTAGAAATGCAGTGCTGAGGGACTTGTTCCACTTGTGACTTGGTTTGTGGAAGCTTAGCTGCTTCCATGTTTTTGTCAAAACAGCTGAGTAATGTTATGTAAAGAGCTAATCTAAATCTTTACAGAAATGTCTGAACTATGTTGGTCTTTGTAATGCTGGTAGTTCTTTGGGGCATTTCCAGGGTATGCCCTTCCTTTGGACTGTTTACATATGTGAATTTTACAGTGCTTTTCTGCCCCTCAGCTAAAAACAGTGTCTAGATATTGTCTTCTGCTTTTTTTTTTTTATTTTGAATTTCTGGAAAATAATAAATTCAGTCTGACTTTGTAATAAGTGTGCATGACGTTGGCTCCTTTTCAGCTATGTCAGTAAAGCTGTGAAGCTTCCAGCAAATCCAAGTTAATGCATTTCACTTCCTCTAGGCACTGCACATAACAAGCTATTCAGTTTGATGCCACAGCACTCCTTAACAGCTTCAGTCCCCAAACTAAAATCCAATACCCTTAGATCCTACCTGGTACCAAGTACTGCAGAGTGGTACTAGAGGCACTGGAGAACCACCTTTTCTGTCCTCAAGTTGCCTCAAGCTACAGAAAATAACTGAAACAAAAATACCTAATTCCCTAAAGGAGAAGGTTGTACAGCACATTTAGAACTCACCTTAGAAATAGAATTTTGTTCATTAGCCCAAGAAGTTGATTACCAAGGCCACAGCACCCCTGCTAGAATGATTCTGCTGCAGGTATGAGAGAAAGAGAGTTTGTGTTTCCTTTACACTTTATTTAAAAATTTAAATGCTCCCCCATTGGTTTTTAAGCTGCAGTTGCATCATGCTTCAGAACTGAACAACCTCAAGCATAAAGCAGCATTGCTTTAGCTGGGGAGTAGTTAGTATCAAAAGGGTACCCTTGGCAGATTTAAGAGCGTGTGGGAGAGACTGTTCAGTAAATATGAGATGATGGTAGTTTATTTTTTCTATGCATTGCTCCACTGCGTATTTTAGTAGATATATCTTACTGAAGCAAAGGAACAATGGGAGAAATAGATGTTGTCACAGAAATAGTACTGTTTATAGTAGAACTGAAAATCTAGAGAAGGCATGATGAACAGCTTTGAACAAGGCATCTAGAAAAAAGTTTATTATTAAGGAAGACTGTGCTCTAGCAATTGCTAGCTAGTAAAGCAGTCCCTCCAAGAAATACCTTTACTTTAATTTTACTCAACTTGAATAGACTTGTAAAATGTCATGACATGCATTGATGAGAGAAATTAACTTGCCTCTCCCCTTGAGCAGAGTTATCTATTTATAGCACAGTTCCTTTTACAATGCAGTCATAACTGAGGTATAACTTATCTATTTTATCATTACCTTCCCCAAATGGATCACAGCTGTTGGCTGGGTGGTCCCAGTCTTCAATGAAGAGCATCAGGAACCTGCCTTCCCTTCCTCTGGATTGTAGCTGCGGGCACGCTCTGCAGTTAGGTAGGAAGCAGTCCTGGCTTTGCAGACAAGGCATTGGATGTGATGACCTGCCCTGGCTTCTCACTGCTGGGACTGTTTGACAAGGCGGAAGGCTTCTAGGAACTCGTTGAAGTCAATGTTTCCATCTTTATTGAAATCAATGCTGCGAACTAAGTCATTGATGCCATCGTCTGTGAGTTCAATGTTCATGTGGGAGCTGAACAGCTTCCAGGTTTGGTGGAACTCCTCAAATGAGATGAGACCTGTGAGGCAGAAGAGGCACAGCTGCCTCAGTACAAGGCTTGCCAGCACCTGCTCAGATTCACTGCCTGCTACCCTAAAGGAAGGAAGTGACTTTCGGATTCTGCAGCTAAAGTTCCTAGCACAGAGAACAATGGATAAACTACAAAATAAAAGTGGCAAAGAGACATAAAACAATGTGTGGGAACAAGAGAAAGACTTGTCCGTTCTCCTCCCTAATGTGATTTGGTGGAGATAACTGCTCATGAGCAGATAACTCAGAACCCAGAGACACTGCATTATTATCATTGCTCTCATAACCATTTTTTCTGCTGAACTCCTCCGGAAAATCAGCTGCACAATTCCTTTGAAATGCCTCATTTGTGGACATATGCATTGATAATATAGAAGCTCTTGAGGCTGATACAGGAAGGAAGATACATGCCCTTTACTGTTCAATCAGAATCCTTCAGTAGATACTAAAGGAAGACCAAAAGTAGAATGGAATGTAACGCAGTGACCAACACACCTTATACACCTCCTTACCTGAATGATCTCTGTCTATGATCCTGAATATGGTCTCCAGGTTGGATCTGTTTCGATAGATAACTTCCAGCAAGCTCGACTGGATGTGCTGAAAGGCAACATATTGTCGTGCTCATTCTACCCTTTTCAATAGGTCTGTATTTCTGCTCTGATCGCTAGCTGCAAATCTTCACATAATTAAAAATGTTTATGGCTCTTGGGAGTTTGCCAGCAGTGCACTTTGCACTGTGTATATGTTATGAAATGAGTTCATGATGTCTCAGCCTTCTATGCAGCTCTGAATTAAAGCACACCAGCAACTTGTCACTTCCAACTATACCATTTTCCCAAGTCAACAGAGGAGAAAGGGACTCAAGCTATAACCATTGCAGTTGTTTCTGCTAAGTGCAATCAGGAAGGCTGTGAATCACAGAATGGAGTGCAGTTTTCCTATTCAAAAACCTGTATCCAAAACTAGCTCTGGGCTTTTATCTCATACATATCATCCATTTCTACAATGGAACAAGCACCTTTAGAATACTCAAATTCATGCAAGTGCTTTGTTGACTTCATTATGCTTTTGGATCATACAGGAACTATCCACTGTCCTAGCCTTTCCTGCCATGCTTAGCCCAATGCACTGAGGTCTTGTGAGCTGCTCTGCTTTGACAGACGGGGGTGAGGCCTTACCTCTTGGCTCCTCTGCTCCATGGCCAAATCATCCAGCCAGGACTTGTACTCCAGCATGCCATCTGCTGTGCTGCGCACCAACTGTGGTCTCAACATCCGCCACGGCAGTCCCAGGTGCAAGACTGACTCCACTGCTGTTGCCCAGTTGCTCAGCGTGATCCTTCCTGTAGGGGAAAGCCATGGGGACTGCTGAAACCAGTGGCTGAAAACATGTAAAGACTGTCACTCCCAGGTGCTATATGTGGCCAGGCTAGAAACCAACCCCAGAAGATCTATTATGCCAAACTGCAACACAGTTGGCACCAAACAAAACGCTCAAGATGCCCTGCTAGCTAGTAGGGTCATGAAGCAGTAACACAGCAAAAGCAGTTAATGCTCTCCCTGCCACCAAAGCAAAAAACCTACAATAGCATGCTTACCCAACCTACTGCGCTGCTGACAGAGACAGCTCCATTTCTCCATGGTACCTGTGAGCACTTCAGTTCATGTAAAGGCCTTACACAGCTTTACAGACATCTGCCTACAGCAGCCACTGCGCAGTACAAGTGGTTTCTGCTCCCACCAGCCTCAGCAAGCTTTTGACTACTGCAACAAATTAGGGTATGGAGCTGCAAACCTCTGAACACTTAATTTTGTGTATTTCATTGCAAATCTGTGACCTGCATCCAGTCCTTTCCTGCAGCTTGTGGCCTGCACAACTACATGAGTAGTTCCTCAGTGACCCAGGAATGTAGAAAAGCTTCCAGTTTAGCAGTTGCTCTAAGAGTTAAACTGGACTCGTGGGAACAATTTCACAGCCTGGGAAGGAATACCCAACAGGAAGGCTGTTCTGCTGACTGCCATGTCCCTGTTTCCCCCAGGGCACATACAGACAGATCCGCTCAGCTTAGTTGACTCTCCTGGCTGGTGCAAAAGCAGCCGAGTATTATGAACTCACAGCTCTCTCCTTAAGACTGACAGTGGTAGCTGGCACAGAAGGGATTCCTCAATTTCCACTTCAAAGAGATTTTAGACTTCAGGATTGCAGAGGCTCTAGAAACCACTCAGCCAAGTGACAAGTGACAGATGTGTTCCAGGTCATTTTTACAGTGCTTTCTCAGTACTCCTGGTGCAAAAGGTTCTCCTTGCACCAAGTTTGAACTGCTACACATTAAGCTCATCATCTCTCGCTTCTCTTCCAACACCCCCTCATAACAATAAGGCATTAAAGCAGAAGAGAGAGTGAATAACAGCAAATGGGACCGATATTGTTGCAAGGTCTGACAGCCTGTGATAGTCACTGACAGCTGTCAGTGAAGAATCTCCCAACCAGACATGCACTCACCTTAACCTCTTCCACTTCATCCCACCAGAGAATTAACTCAGTGTCTCATGGCTCAGATTTACCTGTATTGTCTTTATCGTACAGCTTGAATGCACTGATGAGGGCAGAGGTGTGAGCAAACAACTTTTCCCGCAGGGCTCTGAAGGCTGACTCCTCTACTCTGCTGATTCTGAAGCATGCAGAGAAGAAAGAAGCATTTTAAGGACATGCCATGAAATGCAAGGGAAGCTGCACATCCCACTCCTCTGGCACATCCATGGATTGCTCACACCCTCACACAACAGCCCTACACAGCTACTGCTTCTCTACAGTGTTCGTAACAAGGCACTGCATACCTAGAGCAGTATTTCCCACAGCTGATGCAGTAAACCCCTGCCAAAGCAACAGAAACCTGTCCTTGCCTATATAAGCTGTCAGCAATTAGTACAAGTCCAGGGAAAAACAACCTATCGTAGCAAACTTCCACAGTTGGTACTGTGGTACACCTGTTTCTGTTTACGTATTTTTGTTTGAGTTGTTCTATCACACCAGTCCACATATATTTTTAGCAGCTGTACAATTTTGTAAAGTAACAAAGTGAAAAGGAACTTCAGGAAGGTCAAAAGTTAAAACATGACATTGGAAAGAAAAGCTGGAAAATCAGCAGCCAGTACCTATTTTGACCTTCCTTAATTGCTTCCTCCTTGTCCCTTGTGAACCTCCCTTAGGGCTATGATTTAGAACATCCAGCTATGAAAGTTCAGCTTTGGAACCAAACTTTCTCAAAGCTCCCAAAGTTTTCCCTTTGGAAATTTTGACTTGGTGAATTCTTATTAACAAAAGCCTTGCCTTTGAGTCATGGTGAGGGTGTGGGCTGTCTTGTTTGCTTGGTACTGAACAAAATGGGGCACCAGGTCTGGCCCCAGCTTCACATAGGCTCCCCTGTTGCTGCCAATCTCGTAATAGTTTGAGGCTGAAAATATGGTCAGTACCTAAAGAAAGGTATTTACAGTCAGAATGTACATCCTCTGTTATACGTATATAGGTATCATGAAAACAGTGCATTAATCCTGTCTGAAGTCAACAGATGATGAAAGAAACATTTTCACAGGGAAAGCAAAGAGTGAGGTGAGAGTTCCTCAGGGGTGATAACAGCCTTGCATCGACCTGGCCATATGCTGAGCTTCTGCAGCTTCTCTGCCCTCTCCCCGCAAATTTCCACCTTCCACTGCAGTTCAGCTGAGGCCACTGAAGTCACTCTGAGACTTCCAAAAGCAAAACTTTAGGGCAGCAGCTTATTATCACTTCTTTTGTATTTAATTTTCAGAAACTGCTTTAATTGCAGGCAATTGCACAAATGAATTCAGGTCTTTTCTCACATCGGAGAAATGTGCTTTACCTGTGTAATGGTTCTTCACAACAGAGAAACTGTTTCTGACTGCCCCAAACTAAGTACTCAGCTAGTAGCATATTTCAGTAACTCCTGATATGGCTGCTCAATCATTTTATATATACTTCAACAACAAAAAAAAAACTAAAACAAAACCAAGCCAACAGCCTACAACACTGGAAGAAATGAAGAGCAGAGACAACAGCAGGATGGAAAACCCAGCATCCTTCCACCACCCCCTCACCAACCTTCCGGTTGTGACAGAACTCATAGCCATCTTGCTTGCACTCATGGGAGCGGATGAGGAACTGCAGGTTGTACTTCTCAAGGATCTTCCCCGTCACATCAGGCCCAAAATAGCAGCCACCACCTCGCACCGTATTTTCTCTGCAGCCCTCCTGAGGCATGGGGTCACTCCAGAGGATGTCTAAAATCTGAAATAATCAGAGCAGTTCACTGAATGATGTGTACCCATTGACATTTACTAAGCAAATGCAGCGCCATCTCTGCATCCCTGCTGGGACTGCTGCTGCTACCATAGCACAGAGATCTTTCCTGAATCACAGCTGAATCTCCATATTGCTCTGCAAGACTGTCACAGCCCTGAGCCACCACAAAAGTGATGATACTGTTAGCCCAGAGCTGCAGCCACGCCAAAAGCGCCTGAGGAAGAGAGAGATCTATGAATTAGGCCTGATACAAGCTTTCCCTTTGCTCTTGGTGGATTTCAAGGAGACTTTTCTGTCTTCCTGCAGCCGAAAACATGTTCCGGGACAAGTAACCCAGCAGATCCCCAGACCAAGAGCGGGCTTAGTACTAAACTCCTTTGCATGACAGTCTAGATGTTCAGCAGCCTTCACTACTGTAAGTGCTGACTCAGTGACCACTACGTGGATTAAAGTTTAATCTCTTTAACCCTGACCTGAATATACAGCTTTATGCTGATAAGGTGTGTAATACCAGGATGTCATCTGCGATGGGTGGTGAGGAACAATGGTTTCATAGCATGCAAAAGAATCTCCCAAACAGTCTGGTCCAACAGAAAGCGGAAATCAAGTTCCCAGGCTCTGAGAGCAACATACTCAACGTACAGCTTGGATAAAACCAGAGAATCAGTCTGTTCTTAGTATCCAAGATCACAACTCCCTTGTCAGCAAACGACGTGTTCACTCATAGCATTGGCCTCAAATATCCCATGCACACACTATAAGTGATATAAACACTGGGCTCTATCATTAGTCTTGCCTATCATTTATCTCCCCCACAGTGAATCACAAAAACCTGTCACCCCACTCTGTGCCTGAACAGTTTGATTTATACAACAGGGGAGTGCTGTGCTAGGTACAAATGCTGGAACAGAGCCTGGAGTGCAGACAGCCAAAAACCCAGTGGAGAGGCTGACATACAGGGCTAGGAGAAAGGCAATGGCAGAACAGCAGCTAGCACCAGTCACACAGCCTGCATTCTACAGGAATCTCATGCACAGCTCTGCACTTGCTAGTGATTTATGCCATAGGACACGCTGGAAATAGTACAACAATCCACCAAAATGTCCCCAGTGAGCAGAGAACAGAGCAGTTAGTCAAAAAACAGCAGAAAATCCATTCGCTCTTCTGATGGCACTTCAGCACTGACTTGCTCCTTAACTCTACTTTGCAGAGCAGCAAAAATCTCTTTGCAAAGAGGTCTGTGCATTGACCCACACACTTTATAGCAAGATTCCTCAAAGGAACAGAGAACAAATCTGTGGAAGGCACCAAAAGCAAAGCCCTGCTTATACCACTCACCTGCTTCCACTCCTCTTGCCGAGTCCAGCACGGCCCATCCAAATCTGTTAAGGAGACCAAACTGGAGCAAGTGAGCTCCTCCTCCTCCGAATCGCTGATGTCCACCAACTTGCGGCACCACTCGATTTGCTCCTGCACTGTCTGCCGGACCCACCTGGAGAACTCCACCCTGTTGGCCATGCTGGGAGCCTGGGCTGGTCGGGGCTGTGAGGGTAAGCTGGACATTGTCTCATTCCCTGCTGAATCAGGCTTTGCTTGGCTCTCCCCATTTATCTCCTTTATTTCCACATTTCTGTTTGACTCTTTTCTTTTCTTCCCTCTCAATACAGAAATAAACTGGAAGAGGAAGGAGAGAAAGCACAGATAGTTAAATGGCTTGGAAAGCTGGATCTCTAGCTCTAACATCTTCAAACAGAAATCTATCAAGCGACCAAGGCCACTAAGCTTCAATTAGTTTTGCTGCTATGAAATGGAGATTAACTGTAGGAGGTTATTAGTGCCACTTGCTCAGATGTACCATTCTTGGCTTAAAGCTAGGGCCACAAACACAGCCTGAATATGGATTCATCTCTTCTTCATCAACTTTACACTGCTCAGAAATTTCATAAAAGATAGATTGCATGGAGTTAATCTGCACTTGGAACAAGACAGAAGAATGAAGGAAAGACAAATCACTAATGCAAGTGCTTGCCATTATATTTAGAGAAGGGAAGTAGTATTTTCTCAACTAGCACATTTAACACAGATAAATTAAATGACTTCTCACAATCCCTCTGGAAATATGGTGTTTAGAAAAAGAAAAAAAAAAAAAAAGACTAATGACCTATGGGATGACAAGATCCTGTCATTGCTGTGTTATTACTGTCAATACCACCACACCCATGTAACAATGTAACTGTCCACCATTTACCTGGCTACCATACTCTCAGCTTCCAGAAGTCAATAACACTTCTTCCCTTCACATCTCCTGCACACACCCTATTAAATGAAATCAATGCGCTCCAAGACCGTACACAAACACACTTTTTGACTACGAAGACCATCCTTTACATTTCTCTTGTCAACAGCCAAGTTTACACATAGGTGTAAGCTCTCAAACCACAAATCAGCAACACAGATTGCTCTTGCAACATCCAGAAAATAAAACATACTTTGTTCCTTTGGATTTTCTCAAGCATGTCCAGATCAGTAGTATCAGAGACACCCCCATGTATAACAAGGACTTTCTGATCAATCAGGGTGGCCAGAGGTAGCCAGCAGAACACATTCTGAATCATCTTCAAGATTTTCTTCCCATGCAACTAGGAGGACAACGCAGAAAGGCAAAGATGAAGCCTCAGGCCTTCAAAGTCCACATTTCACTTGCTGCAGAAGACACGAACACATGCCTACCTTATATTTCTGCATGACTTCCTTTGTGAAACCATACCTGCAGGAACAGAACAGAAGTTGAGTGGGATTTTGCAGCAATACCCTTGACATTGTCATTAGCCCCACAAGGAACTCATACCGTAAGTTGACCATGTGGTCTTCATGGTTCCCACGATTGAGATGAACCTCTTTTGGATATATCAAAAGGAAGGTAAAGAGGATGATGAGAATCTCAAGGGACTGTTTGCCCCTATCTACAAAGTCCCCATTGAACACATAGGACTTGGAAGGAGAAGGAAGGCCATTCTGTAAAAGTAAGGACAGGTATTATGTTACAAGAAAGGTTTCCCCATGATCCTCATATACCTTCCCACCAGCTGCATGCCCTCTTACTGCTGCCCCAAGTTACCTTATAGAACAGAGCCTAACTTATTTTTATCCTCTAGGCTCCCAGTGGCAAATGCACTGAAAAGTGAAAACAAGGAGTCAGAAGGCGGTGCCATTGGTATTAGGACTTTAAGAAGAAAAAAAAAAAAACCCAAAAAACCATTCACTGGCACTTCCCAAATGTATGTGTATGTTCCAACAGTTCTCACAGATTTAAAAGTCAGTGAAGGAATGAGCTTTAGCTTTGTAAAGCCATTTAAATTGACCTGGAGAATTAGATCTTAAGGGCCCAACTTGCAAATGCTTCTTAGCATGATCCATGTGATAGCTTTCATAATGTCTGGCCAGCCTCTCCCGCACCAAACAAGGTGCTTACCTTATAAAATATGAGGAACAAGTCATCCAGCTGGCCATGCAAATCTCCTAACAGGCACAAAAAGACAAGTCACAACATGTTTACCTTTAACTGAAAAATATACAGATAAATAACTTCCTATAAAGTATCTCCTCTATAAATTAATGACCGCTAAAATACTGGAGGAAGTTCAAGGTTTGGCATAAGGTTCAAGGTTCCTGTTCCAACCCAAGCTGAAACCAGGCCATAACGGAATCTTGCTGCCTACAAGGTTCAGGAGAGTCTAAGCTGCAGATCAAATACAGCATTGGTATGGTAAACCCAGATAGTTCAGAGAAAGCTGCAGCTGCCTCTCAACGCAACACTTTACACGCGGACTGCATTTATGTTCCACAGTCATATGGTACCAAATCATATGTTTGCCATCCCTTGCACCAAGAATTCTTCCCCAAAGACTGCGCAGTGCTTTCCCACTCAGACGTACCACACACAGTGACCTCCTCACTGTAGCAGGTGGAGACGTGACTGATGTTTGGCAATTGCTTGAGGTGCTTCCTGGTCTCGTGTAGAAGGTTTAAGACATAGCGAGCGTGGAGCTGCTACTAGGAGAAAGTGAAGGAATTAAAGCAGGAAATCAGTGACTTCCAAACAGTAACAGCTGTCTGCAAAGGCCCCAAGGGCCCTCTGCAATAGCCTGGATGGGAGACTCGTGCAACTTTTACCATGACAACAGTCACAGCTTGCAAACAGAACAACACAAATTCCAGGCAAAAGCAGCTTCACCTTGGCATCAGCAAAGGTGGCAACAATATCCAAAAGCCCTCACACCCTGTGGTGGATGCAATCCACTAGACAGCACCATCCTCTGGAGCAGCAGAAATTCCAGACTGGTATCACAGGTAAGAAGCTGCTATCTTCTACATTTTTCTTTGCTTTCTTCACATTAAGTCGGGTTTTGCCATGTGATCTGCACAAGTATGTTTGCTGGAGGCCATTGAAAAAGCATTTAACAGGCTTTAGAGAATTTGTTTTTAGAAGTCTTGTTTTGTTTGGGTAAGGGAGGCTTTGACACATTTGCTGTTCAGCACATTGTCTGAGGGATGGGAACAGAACACTGCAGTTATACAAGGATTTCTCTTGTTACAATTGCTGAATTGGTACTGGACTTCTTCGTCAAACAAACAAACAAACAAACAAACAGTCCAAACAGTTTTAGACTTTTTTCTTTCCCCATTTCAAGTATACTTTTATCTCATGAATCAAATATGCACAGCAAAAACAATTTTTATTAATTCTTTCCACCTGGGCCATCCAAATTTTTTTTTTTTTTTTTAACAAATAAAAGCATTGCAAAAAAAAAAAAAAAAGTTTCAACATGGACTACTGTGGGTTTTTTTTTCCATTAAAATGAAGCTAAAGGTTATTAGTGGCACATACCTACAAAGATTTTGCAGTTTGTTAGAACTGTATTTCTGAAAGGAAAAGTTGCACTTTAAAATACCTACCAGATCATTTCTACCCCTTGGATTAGCTGCCTGCCAGCTGCTGTGTTCAAATTAGCTCAGCTGCTGGGCAGTCCAAACACAAATCAGGTGCCCCACACCTCTGTATGCAAAAGGGGGAAGCGTGTTTTCTTTCAGCATCCTTACTTGTTTTTGTTTGAAAGCTTCCAGCAAGGCAGTCGCATGGTCAGGAAGGAGTGGGAAAGAGAGACGGGGTCCAGTGTAGGAGTCTGGCACCTCCATGGATTCATAGTCACAGTACTTCTCCAGCTCTGCCTCTTTGAAGCTTTCTCCACTTATGAACATGCGACTGATAAAATCCCCTGGATGGCAGATTGGTTGGTTTCATTGTTCATTTAAAATGAAAGAGATGAGGAAAAGTTAATTTGGCTCAATACACCATTCTTGTATTTTGATAAAGACAAGCTGTTGCTCAGGCTAGTGCAGCAGCAGAGGCTAGCTCCTGGTCTGACACCACCACAGAATTTGCAGTGAGGAAGGGGCTACAGGGTCAAGGTTCAGTCAAGTATGCTATGCATCAAATAGTGCTGGCAGCTACACCAGTTTCTACAAAAATGTGGGTACTGGTTGCCATGGTTACATGAAGTGGTATTTTCAGTGACAAGCACAACTGCATAATGAGCTGTTTCATGTCACACTGTTTTTCTAAGCCTGCACCCACTCACATGCTCAGCATCGTCCCAAATTTGTATAAGTATGTATGTTTTTTTTTTTTCACTGCCATAAGATGTCACAGCCCATCTCAAGCAATGGGGCACTATTGTGCCGTTTTGTACAGACACTGAAAAAAATATGTCCCTTCCTTGACAGGGCTTTGCTTTAAGACATATCGGGTGACTCTGAGAAAAAAGGGTGCCAGCTTGAAAGGAAGGAATGAGTGCTTCAGCAGGTTACGTAAATAGCTAATTCTGACATGGCACCATCAGATTTCAGACATAAGTGCCTTAGCAAGTTCTCAGCATTAGGAAATTACATGTAATGCTCACTGCAGATTCAGAAAGATACTGTACTAGTTGCAACAGCACTTCTTTCCCCAGACAATGAGACTAAATGTAAGTAACGTTGATACTCTGGAGCACAGTTCCCTAGATATAGCTTCTCTGTACCTTCAGAAATGGATTCTGCAAAGCGTTGGCTACCACGGTTTACTTTAAGAAGGCAGATTTTTAATATTGTTCTTAGAAAACATACAAAGGTTTTATTCCCCCTTCCAGCTCCTAAGGAGTAGGAAGCTCCACATCCCTTGCACAGCTCTGACAACCTCCATATAATTCACTCTGCAATCTCCTGGTGCCTTGCCCCCTCTTCCCCCGCCTTGCTCTTCCCAAGGGCAGCACTGGACAGGGTGCAGTCTTCTGAGCTGCTGGTGCCCGATCTCCAAAAGACACATACAAACTTACTTTCTTTACTGCTGCTTGGTGTGAAGTTGTCCATGAGGTAACTGAAGAAGTTGTGAAGCTGCAAGAAGAAAGCTCATCATAATTTGCTCTGGAATATCCCCAGCGCTCACTCGAAATTCTACAGAGTGGCACATTAACATCATCTTCTTTTTGCAAGTATCATCCTTGCCCTTCTCATGTTGTCTGGCATGTACAACAAATCAAGCTACATGTGTTCTGTATTGTTTTTCTTATAACGAAGTAATAGTAGTAGCTTTCCCTTCAGCCATACACATGGAAGAACACCCCTAAGCTCTCTCCCTGCTTGGCAGAAAGGCAGTGATAGAAGAGAATGTTAAATAAAATTAAACGAAGCAATCCAATGAGGATTGGCTCTTGTATTCAGACTCAGGAAAGGGCTTGTGATTTTAAATGCTCCTTAGGGCTTGTTTCAAGGCTAATTTCTTAGGGTTATATCACACAACCAGGTAGGAAATCTTTACGTAAAAAGGAGGCAGGAAACTCAGCCCTGAAGCACTTGCAGGGCTATCAGCCAGCAGCCAGAAACGAGTGGCAAAGCCAGCATCCTCATGGCAGAGAATTCAAAGAGGAGGCCCTGCCTGCCAGAATGACTAATAATGGCAGGCCAGGAACATTCCCCTAAGAGGGAAGAGAGAATTAGTTCCATAGGAGACAGAGTTTACTAAATAAAAACCAAAACCCAAACAAATAATATTCCATATCCACAAATAACAACCCCCTCTACGTTTAATGCAAAGTTGTAAAATTCTTGATGCATGGAGATTACTTTACTTCCCTAATACATGATGTTCTTTCCTCCCCAGACTGCTCCATTCACCTCTAGCTACTTTTACAGAAGCAGTTCCTGCAGACCCTCAGGAAAATGTTTTTTTTCTCTCCATCTATAGAATCACAGAATTGCTCAGATTGGAAAAGACCTTGAAGATCATCAAGTCCAACCACAACCTAACCATACTACCCTATCAACCCTCCACTAAATTATGTCCCTGAGCACCACATCCAAAGGGTTTTTAAACACATTCAGGGATGGTGACTCAACCACCTTCATGGGGAGCCTATTCCAGTGCTTAACAACCCTTTCTGTAAAGAAGTTTTTCCTGATTCATAGGTTACAGTGTCCTAGAAATCGTGATATCCTACGTCTTGCACACTCACACAGGAAGAAGCTGCCTATTCCTGCCTTACAAAAAGTTTGCCATTGGCTCATCCTCACGGAGAGAGTATTTTCCCTGTGTACTCCTTTCTTTGTCACCTTACCTTGATCTGGTCCTGCTCACAGGCGTACTCAATGGATTGAAAGATTCTCCAAGTGCACCGTCGGCGCATTTCCAGGCGAGCAACATAGCGCCGATACCACCTTTGGATCAGAACAGCTGCCTTGAAAGCTAGGGAACAAAACCAGAGCAACCTGCTGAGCTTCAGTTGCTGCACCGGCTGAGATACCACCCTGCTATGCTCCTTTCCTGACCTTTACAGCTGAAGAGAGATCTTTCTCTTCCAGGAGGAAGTTTTCAGAAAAGGTGTTCTGATGCCTAAACATTAAGTATAAGAGAACACCCACATCTTTTCACTCTATTTTGAGAGGTGATCTCACCCTGCCCAGAGATCTCTGAAGTACTTCTATCAATACCAGATCTTCAGCACGTTAACAATTTACTGTTGCCTGCATGTCTGTATACATCCTTCAGCGTCAACAGACAGGTGAATCCCTTCTATCTACTGTCATCATTTTCATGTCCCTCCTTACAGTCTAGGCTTTGGGCCAGGCACTTGACTGAGACCGTGCAAAATGTTGGAGAATAAAATAAGATACTGAGTCCCTTTCCAGAACCTTAAAACTAAAAAAAGTTTTTACCCCCCTTCCTTTAAGCCAAATAAATACCCCAGCTTCTGCATTTGTGGTCGAACATCAGGAAGTGATCTGTGTTAGTGTAAACGTTAATGTTTCATTATCTTGGAGTAAAATAAAGAGAAAGGGGAAAACCAGCTCTTCATCTGCTTAATGACAGAAGGAATGAAAGGCCAGGGGTTTCCACATGGTTTCATGGTTCAATCCACAGCCAACACTGTCACCAGGCTCTTCCCTCCAAACGATGGCCATACTACGTGGTGTTTAACACATAATTCCTCTGCACGTCTCCAATTCCAGCAATTTTCATTACAAGATCATTTCAGTTGGGGTGTGTGCTTTAAAGCAAAGCACACTGGTACAATTTCCCATTTACTGTGTGTGCTTTAAAGCAAAGCACACTGGTACAATTTCCCATTTACTTCTCTGAATTCTGCAGCCAAACATTGTACTTCTCTAGGAACACTTATATCTACCTTAGCTGGTCTTACCACTATTTGAACTGTCTGGTTACTTTACATTGCCTTTTACTAGTTGGCACCTCTTTTTATCAGGCTCTGTGTCCCTTCTTGTTCTCATTTAGAGCCCTGCATTTAAAGCATTTCCTAACAGAGCTTCTTTGTATCAAGCTTCAGCTAGGGGAAGGACAACTGCTCTGCCTAGAGGCTGGCCCCAAAATCAAACAGACACTACAGTTAGCACAGCTGCAGAAACTTGCATTCCCTTGGCACATGGTCTGTGAGAGCAGTGCTGTGTTCACCAGAGCAGGAAGAGCAATGGGGTGCACGGGGTGGAAAATCTTGACTGATACCTCTCACCCTTGCCCCAAAGGCTTCTAAGTTCTGGTAAGAGACACAGACAACACATTCAATTAATTATCTTGTATTATTCATGCAAGTTTCCTATGTACTTCAGCATGAAACACTTCTTGACCTTTACCTGAAGATATTCTGATGGCTTACGTATTGAATGTAAGAATCCTTCTAGTTTATACTACTGTAAAACCATTAGGAGGTGTAAAACATGGCAAGGAAGGAGCTGTTGCTGTTGTGCAGATGGAGAACTGAGTCACAGTGTAGGCATGGACAAGGAAGTAAGATTTGGTTAGCCTTAATTCAAGAATAACTTGTGTTAGTTTTTGCCTGGGCTGAAAAAGTGCCTTCTGATCTGCTGGGCTCTGAGGAAACGAAAAAAGGCTGACTGTTTTTCTGTAGATTGTGCTCCCCCAGTGCTACCTCTTCAAGCCTCCTTTGTCGCAGCCTCCACACCAGCTGCCTTACTCTCTCTGCAGCAATTTGGCTGGCATGCAGCCAAAGCCATAGTCACAATCACTCTAAAATATCTAACTTCTAAACAGGTTACATTCCCTTAACAGGGGATACAATATCCAAATACTGCAGCAGGAGTCAGGTGTCCTTCAAGTGAATCCCGAGCAGAAACTGGTAGTCAAGACTCCATATGTATAAACAAAAAACAGATTCTTTGAAATATTACAATCTATTTTATGAGGATCCAAGTAGTAAACAGAATCATACCTCATCATGTAAACTGAAAAGCATGCCAAAGTGGCAGCACTTGAACTCAATTATGCCTGTTTATGCTAGCACTAAAGTTCACAAATCAGCTGTCAACAAATACCGTCTTCTTTCTCTGAAACCATTTATAACCAAAGCAATTGTGTACCAGAATAATCTTGCCAAGTCTCCTGCATGGCAAGAGCCAGCAGAGTATGATTTCTTTATAAGACACTGCAGAAATAAAGGCAGATAGCTAGAGATAATGTTGCTGCTTTACCAGTTCTGCACCCAAATATAGTCTTTAAGCGGCAGGTCCAGCAAAAGGAGCAGTGTGCTATCATCATCTATCACCCTGACAGCACATGAGGTTACAACACACACGCATTAGCCAGAAATTGATTAGTTTGTCTGATGTTAGTTCCAACAGAAAGGCTTTTTGCTGCTTCCTTTCTGGTCAGATTTGTATTGTTTATCTGAACAGCTGATGTTTCCTCAAGCCTAGTGTGGGCTTTCTGCATGACATCTGAAATTCCTCATCACAGGAATGTCCAGAAGACATAACCTTCTCTCAGGACTATTGAGAAAAATGAGAATCTGGAAATGAAACACATCCCACCACAACCTTCCAGCAGCATGTGCAGGAACAGACAGGGAAAGGTTACATTTCAAAGAATCACTCACCATTTTCAGACTTCTGTAGAGAGTACTTGTAGTTGGCATTTACAGAACTACCAGATCCCATGTTTTCCAACTGGTACTCCTAGAATGCCACAGTCTGGCCCAGTATCACCAAAGCCACACAAGAGGTGCAGGAAAGCATTTGATCAGAATCCAAACTGCTGTAACATGTCCCACAGTGCTGAGTCTATAATTAAATATATTAACACTTATTAAGATCAACAAGCGGATTTCCTGTCTTGTACCAAAGTATCTTTTCTGCTAACATGTATTTCCAGCTACTTGGTTGTCTTTTAGACCATCTGATGCAAGGATTCCTGTCTTACTGTTTCAAATTTCAAGTCAGCTGTATGAATAGGAGTAATTCTGACACTTCTTGTGTGTTACACATCTAGTTACTGTAATTGTACAGTAGATGGATAAATCAAGCATTTGTGTATTCACACAATGTTCCACATGTTTAATTTTAGGTTTCTAAACTCTTAGCAATATGGTTGTCTTTGATGTGAACCTCCATTTCAAATGCTACCAGAAAATCAGCATGATTGAGCTCTGAGAACAGACGTCAGCTCTGAATCCTAATGATACCTCTTCCCTCACACATGCACAGCTAAAGCACTTGAATAAGGCAAAAAGTGCTAAAATACTCCATGACTGCATATTGTACAGCACATAGAAAAATATCTTTTTATACTGATCTGGTAAATAAGTTGATTTGGCAGCTCTTCAGTATCTGCAAAGATTCATGCATAAATCCTTCTGTGAAGGATAACTCTTGTTATGAGGGATGAACACACATATGGTATTTAAATCTATTTGCAGTTCCACAGCACGAGGGGGGATAAGTCTAAAATAACAATTAGCTATCATAAGAAAATAATCAGCTTTGTTAAATAAAAACTGCTTTTCTTCACCTTGCGGATCTGCTTGAGTGCGGGGGCGTCCGATGCCATCAACTGCTCAGATCCTGGCCAGCATCAAGGGACAGGACAGCCAGACTTGTGTTAACCTCACTGCTTGCTCTGTTCAGAGCAAAAGGATCCTGTTTCAAGAACAGGTCAAAATTCTGAAACCTCTCACTGAGGACAATCAGGGTGCCTTCCACTGTCAGACATTTCCTCTGGGAGGAGTGGAAAATAGGAAAAATAAAACTGCATGTGCTACTATTTACAGTAGTTCCAGGCTGTATCACAAAGAATTTTAAAGTTTTGGTGCTTTTTTTGTTTTGTTTTGTTTGTTGTATTTGTTTGTTTTTTAACCCAGAACTGGGTACAGGGGAGAAAGCCGAGAAAGGAAAGGAAGGAAAAAATTACCTTAATCAATGCTAGGTCTGGTGCTAGCAGGAGACCACATCTCAAAGGCTTCTGAAGGGCCAGAACAGTAGGACTGTAGAGGCACTTCTTCCCATTTGAGAAGGGAGAATCCCTTCTCCTTTTCTCACTTCTTGCAGCCCTTTTGCCTAGTCGCTCTCTTTCTACTCAGCCCACATCTTTCCTCTCAAAATAGCTACACAGATGGGCAGAAACACTGATTGAAGGGACACATCCGGTGTTGTGTAAGGTCCATGTGCACTCCTTGCTCAGGGAGATGATCCATACTGAACTAAATGTCAGCACAGAAAGTTTCTAGATGGATAAAACGCTGAAGTTTTCTGTCCTGCCCAGAATGCTGAACTGCACAACTTCATGATGTACAGATGATGCAACAGGAGAATACTTCACAATGTTGCTAATAAAATATCACTCACTCTACTTTAACATTATTTAATATCAATGCCATAAGTGGCCTGAAATCATTGCAAATTATGCCCAAATACATCTGATGCTTTACAGTATTTATGTTCCATAACGCAGTTACTCTGACAGCTTTTCAGACTATTAACTACTTAAGCAGACAATTGCGCACACAAAAAAATCCAAAGCTCAAGCAATTAAGGCCATTCCTTGTCTCCTCCTGTATGGCACATCCCACTTCAGGAAGAACAGATTTTCAAGCTCAGAATTTCTATGTGTAGACTTACAATTCCCGTATGGATATTCAAAGAAAAATGCCTTCCCAAAGAGACACATCTGAAGATTTCAACAATTATGAGCTATATCCTCTAACAGCTCAAAAGAATGGTTCATTCTAGAGACATCTCCAACCATCTCTACTCACTGCATTCTGGTATATGCAGCAGGGCGATCTGAAACAGCCCAGCACGGGTTCCTTTTAGATGAGATGACACCAGAGGACATGCTCTGCCTACTAAATGGGAGCAATTAATTCACAGGAGCAGATTCAGGCCAGTTCAAAAAAAAAAAAAACAAAAAAAAAAAACAAAAAAAGCGCCCAGAAAGGCAGCTAGTGCGGCCAACTGTTGCTCCACAGGGCAGGACAACACAACCTGTGTGCCTAGCTGCACCTCAGGGACCTGACACTGCCAGCCTCAAAGGAAGGTGGATGCTTTAAAGATACCTTTAAAAATACCAGCATGAGAAAAATTCATTTTTTAGGAGCTAGAACTCTGCCAGATCAGTTTAAAAAAACAAAAAACAAACAAAAAAAAACCAAACAAACACAACAACAAACACATTTTAAGTAAATACCTACAGTGTGTTCAGGGGTACCACGTATCTGTTTTGATCAAATATGACCTTGAATTTGAGATCACTGTTGGAGACACAAAATAAAACTCTTCCTTATTTCCTCCCTTTCCAGCAAAACCAGACAACACCAACTCAACCATTTGCTATTGCACAGTCCTACTTTAAGGATAAGTTCTGGCCATCCAAACAGAGGGATGATCGAGTATTAGGAGCGCCTGTAGAGTGCTCCTACCTAGTTCTCTTATTTGTTTAAAAGGTCTCTCCCAAGCAATTCCTGCAGCCAGCCACTTTTTGACTTTGTTGTCTCAGATTCTTCTGAGGGCCCCAGCCTGAGCAAAAGAGCGCAATGCAATAAATCAGAGAATCCAAAGAAATGAAACCTGCTTCAGGGGTGGGAGGAGTGAGGAAGAAATGAAGTCAACCCAACTGCTCAGCACCTGTGATCCTTCCTCATCCACCCCACAGTGAAATTCATCCTTCCTATACCTAAAACTGTTTCAAAGAAAAGTTGACCCATAAAATGCAGGCTGAAATACCCAATGACAGTGGCATTGCCTCAAATATAGATTACATATGTATTTGAGATAAAACGATGCATATGTGAGACAGTTGGCTCCCTATTCCTTGTCTTGTTCTTCCTGTTGTTCCCCTCATGTGGAGATGATGAGGTTTTGTCTGGTGCACTCAGAAATCTTCTGAAACAGGCTTCCTGCACTTCTTTTGAGAAGCTGCAATACATTCATTTGCCTTCAGCTTGTGACTCTCCCCTGGGATGCAGTGCTGCATAGAGCATCCTCTAACAAACACACGCTAAGTAAAACAGGTGGCGAGCCCTCACGTATGCAGTTACATCAGAACTAAAACATTAAAAAACATATGGACTGAAAAGCTGCACATGGATATAGACAACTAACAGAACAGCAGAAGATCAGATGCAAAGAGGAGATGCATGTTTCCCATTCACCTGGGTCAGCACTGGAAAGCCAGAACTATCTAACAGCTGT